TTTTACCAATGGCTGAGGCTGATTCTGTTGTTGGAGTTTGGTTTGAAGATGGAGACTGGGGATTTGAAGCACTTGTTCCTCTCTCTGGTGGAACTGCTTCGGTAACAGGGCTTGAACTAGCCATCGAGCTGTCACATGGTATGTTAGTTTGTGTGGGGCTACTTTGGTTACTCCCTCCTGTGACAGACGTTGATGTCGAAGAAGAATAAATATTTTCTTCAGAACTAGGCCTTTGAACAATTTCAAAGCTAGTGTCACTGCTTGAATCTGTATCAACTGAAATAAATATTCAGATATAACATATGCCCTCACAACGTAAATACATGAAGTGGAAGAAAAGTAGGCTTCATATTATACCATTGCCTGATGTAGTCTGTGTAGAGGGCATCTGGGAAGGATCTGCACTATGTTGAGTTCTAACTCTTGCAGATTGATCTGTTGAAACTTGTGTAAATGATGAAGACGAAGTCTGGTTAGAAGGTGATGGTCCAGAGTTGCTAGTTTCAGCTGAGTTTCTGGAATAACCAGGAGGATTGCTTGACAGATTAGGATGAGGATTTCCAGATGTTGCAGCATATCGAAGAAGAACATTGACAAGGTCCTCTTTTTCTGCAAAGTTTCAGAAGTATTAACTGTTGATCTCCTAGCAACAGGAATTGTTGGTTTTGACTTTTACAACTTATTTTACAACATACCAAGACAACCTCTGGTTGAAACATGATGTTGATTTAAGTAATGCTGCAAGTCCTTAATGCGTAGATCTAAAAGTGCTGAGCGCATAGGTGGTCTCATAGTAAGGACACAGCAATTCTTGCAGCGAAGTGCACGATCCCTGCATCTCTGAAGACATTGAGAGCAGAATAGCCTCTTGCATTCAGCACATGGTTTCTGAAACATAAGCAAGGTACAAGTTACTTTTCTGACCTCCAGCACTAGTAAAGTAATACTACAAGGGTTAATAGTAAAAAGAATTACGGTTAACTCTCAATAAAGCGCCACCGCAGATTACATTTCCCCAACTATAACATTCTAGAGGAGCTCTACTACAAAGTTCTCATGTAGAAAACAATTTTAAAATAAAAGCATATAGCATTCTCTACAAAAAAATGTTTCCCCTCATATAAAGTTGGCAGTGGGCTGTATTTTCTCCGTGTACAATATTTATAACAGTCAAAAAAGTGACGAAGGAACCCCCTGAGAGTGATAAATGAGATAGGGATCGTCTCTCTAAACCTGGGAGAGCTCAAGAAGTTTCAGAGGATCTGAGTGCAACTGCACTGCAGCCAACAAGACAACATTTTCAAAATTAGTGAAATATTAGATAAAACAATCTCCCCCTGTAACGTTTCAAAACTCTGCAATTTGCCAAAACACTTCAGCAAGAGTTTACTGTACTTACTTTCTTCTTGAATACACTCAGTTTGTTTCCACATATATCACAAACTAATGTTGAGACAGATGAAGATGACTTAAACAAATCTATCAAAGATGAGAACGTCTCCTTTGCCATTATGAGATGATCAGAATGGAGATTGGCAAAAACAGAGTGATCAGCAAATCTTGTTACCTGCAACAATTGAAAGTTTGTATGAAGTTGAAACATGTACAATAGAGGGTACAGGTACACACTATACAGTTGCCAGTACGGTTACCCACAAACGACATAGAAAAATCAAGTTAACAAAACTAGTATAACATTACGGCTGGTAAATAGGTTTCTTCTGATGAGCCAACATTTTGCCAAATCACTGGCACTCCTCAAGTGGCTTGAAAGTAAACACTTCTCTTTTTTTTTTGAGCAAACACATGAACAGGAAAAGAGCTACCCAACGCTGACAGGGTCTTCTTATCTTTGATTGTGCGATTGGTGACTGGTTAATAATAAAGGTAACATTTCAGGAAGAGCAGGGAAATTACCGAAAGATTACGTGAGAGGGATAAAGATGAATCAATGAGACATCAAGTACTCCGGAATCCAGCGGTGGGTGGGGTGAGTGTATTCGTTGTACAGCACAGTTGCGTAATAATTCAGTCATTAAAAATCCAACATACTAACACAGCTGCGATACTTCCTACAGACTTCTTATCAAAACTTCTGCAGATGAACCTATAGGATAAAATAGACAAATAAAGCCACACAAAACTACATTACGCACATCATGTCTGTAAACAAAACACTTGCAAGTTGACTAGTGCACCACCGCCACTTTGAAATGAAGGGTAGCGATTCCTTTTTGCTCACGACGCGACATGGCAACATGGTGTGCAGTGTTTCGAACTTGAACGAAATAACTCATTAACAGTGCCCGGGCCCGGGGTAAATTTAGCTTGTAGAAGTGTTTTTCGTAATTGGGAAACACACCCGAATTCAATTTTTAACTT